ATGTCGAACTTTAGTTTTTCTGGAAACATTTTTCATTCAAAACAAAAAAAAACAGTATTTTCGTTCATAAAATCAGAATTTTGGAAAAAGAGTTAAAAAAAGAAATAATTTTTATGAAAAAATAACTGGTTTTATTTTCTTTGTTGATTTTGGGCGATGGCGAATCATTTGTTTTGATTACTACATTTGTTTTGTTGATAAGACTTAGCCTTCTGTTGATTAACAATAATTAATGTTTCGTGAAAATACATTTTTTATGCCGATAATCCAAGTTGTGCTTGGAGATCCATCCAATTCTATCTGCAAGTGATTCCGGACATATTTTAATTATTTCTCATCTTTGCAGCAGTTATAACTAAATAAAATAAGCGATTGATTAGCACTCATTATTTCTGGCTAACAGTGCTCCATTGGCTTCTCATGCACTTGCAGATAGAATTGGATGGATCTCCAAGCACAACTTGGATTTTTTAATTACTCTATCAGGGGCATCCGAAGTTTGACGCAACAATCACTTTGCTTACTAGGCGATAATCTAAATACTTGCTACTTAAACTATGTGATTAATTATTTTATCTAATGTATATAGTGACTTAAGCTTTCATCAATTTCTTGTATGAAATTTCCGAAAAATTTGTATTGAAAACGTTATAACTTTTAGAACTCACTGAATATACGAAAGCTAACACGGCAGTATGGACGCACATTTCCAACTGGACGTTTTGCGAATTTTACTCCAAAATTTAAACAATTCGGGCCAGTTATACACAATAAACGGCCATATAAAAGTAATTTCTTACTTTATTGCAGAAAATGCATTGGATGATTGACTTTGAAAACTATTAGCTGGAACTGAGATGATGTGATGCAAAATGTTTTTCACGAAATTGTTTCTTTTGTAGTTATTTCTCGTTCAACAAGGAAGTATACATCATATTCTCTTATCTTCTTCTTACCTTCTATTTTCAAAGTCGTTGTTATAAAATTGCAATATTTATGTTTTGTAAGAAAATGATCTGCGCTTGTAACCCACAAGTGACTCACTTTAGTAATAACGAAATGTGAAATTTTTAATGAAAAAGGTAAAAAGTACTACCAGAAATGCTATTAAAAAAATGTTTTATATTTGTAGTTTTCTGCATTCTTTATTTTTTAAATGTAATTAACACAACTTAGCCAAGTTTGATTAATAGCTATCGCCATAACTAATTAATTTAACTCAAAATTTGCGAATAAACCTTTTTTGAAATCATAATCATTTATTTTTTATAGTTCTTTTAAATAAAATTGCTAGTGGGAACCTACTTTTATTTTATCTCAATGGGTCTGTCTGGTAAAGGAATAATTAACATAACTTCTAATAGCACTATTACTGATTAAGCTGGCTCCGCTGGCTACAACGGTAAATGTTCTCCAAGCTTTTCGGTCCGACGCCATCGCTGGCAGTAATAAAAGCCATTCCTTTTTCCATTGTCTGAGTCCATATATCGATGGTTCACCTATACCACCTTTACTGACCGTATCAGTCCAGATCTTGATTGGACAACTTCCTAATACCCTCCACTCTCATTGGTCATATCTCAGCCATATAGTAAGACCGAATGAATCGCGACTATATATAGGCATGGACTTTAGTTTTTATGGTGATCTCGCGATGGCTCCATAAAGGTTTCGGAAGAACTTATAAAAACTCATTGAATTCATTGCCGTTATCAGGGTCTTAATTTCGTGTTTTACCTGGTAATTGGTGTCGATCCAAGGTACTTAAAATTGGACATTTTCTCAATCAGCAATGAGTTTATAAAAAAGAGGATTTTTATCAGATTCTTGTAAGACGAAAAGGCTTTCGTTTTGTTTGCACTGACCTTCAATCTGATTCTTGACATATTGTTGAGCTTGTTTGCAATTCGTCAATATCAATACTGTCAACAAAAAGGACCATATCATCATAATATTCAAAATCTGCGATATTATGCTCGGGACTCACTTGTATACCTCTTGAATGCCGACAAGTTATGTCCATTTTCAATCTATCGCATAATAGAATATTGTAGGGAAAAGGCAACAGCCTTAACGGATACCCCCATACACACAGATTTCTGCCAACGTTTACTGATAAAATGCCTTTATAAGTCGAAGTCGAATGATTTCCTACAAAACATCGTGATATTCCATCATCCTCCAGAGCGCTGCTCTACCAATTGAATCGAAAGCAGCTGCAGAGTCGATGAAGCAGGGCTGCTGATATTTAAAGATGTTACTGCAATTTCTTAGCATGAGTATCTGGTCAACATAACCACGTAAATCCATGTCGCGCATCTTGCTATCTAGTATTCCATAAATATATTCAGTAAAAAGGTAGCGAAAATTTTCCCGGTGGTATCTAGTAGGCTGATTCCTCGGTAATTATCACAGTATGTTTTACTTGAAAATTGAGAACAAAATTGCTTTGTTTGCTTTGCTTTCTTTTCGCCATACCAGAGATTACAATCGTTAACGGTATGTTTTGAAGGATGATTGGCAACATATGAGGATGATAGGATGATTGTTGATGATTGATAGGATGTTTTGAAGAGTTCCGGAGACCATCTCCGGCGGTTTCATTGGGGCTTATAGATAACACCGAATATTTCCTCTTCTGGCGGTTTGCAGTTGCAGAATATGGCTCAACGAATCAGCTATATCCTGGACTAGATGGCACCACATGGTTAAGGTTGGCTTCAAAAAATTCCTTCCACCTTATTAGGCGAGTCTTAATAGCCTTAAAAAGTGTACCATTACTATCCCCTATCATTTCACTTAGATTACCTTGTGAAAGAAGCGAAATAATTTTCTCTTTTCCATTATCGTTTAATTGAGTCGCTATCTCCATTGTCAAGGCCATATCGCTCCAATAATGGTTTTTATTTCGTGCTATTGTCGCTGCAGTTCTTTGAAATATCCGATAGTCAGAATTTCCTGATATTCGTGCTATGGCAGCTTTTTGAGACAGTTGAGCAGTTATTTCTGATACCCAGTTAGTGGACTTCCTAGTATGCCCCAGCGTGGAAGTGTAATTTTCAGACTTTCAGAAATATTCCTTTAGTTTGGACCAGTATTGGTTTACCGTTCCAGAAAAGTCATTGATATTTATGCCATTGAGGTGCTTCAATAATTCAGGTAGAAAAGCTCTTATTGTTCCCGGATCTTTTAGTTTGAGATAATCAAAACGTTGATCTTGAGAATTGTTTCTAATGAGTTGTCAATTTTTTGCGAATCTTAGCTCGAACCATAACATGGCCTGATCCATGAAGATTACCATTTTCAGCGCTCCAATAGGAACGACTACCCAATATTCTTCTAACGGCGATTAAAGGCGATATAGTCAATCTGGTTGGAATGTTGGTCATCCGAGGAGTTCCAAATAGCTAGATATCTTCTACGATGTGAGAATCATGTATTAATAACAAAGAGCTCATGATAATCGGGAAGGCGAAGAAAGCGCTCTCCGTTGGCACACTGGACTCCGGATACCATATTTGCCAATTTCCGAGTTCGTCATGGCTGCATTAAGACCTACATACGCTTTCCAGTCATCCCCGGTTATGACCATGTCACCTTTCTGTAGAGATATTGAGATATTGTTAATAATTGAAATTCCGCATAAAAGTCCTTATCGTGGTCATCTGCGCATAAAGTTGGAGCATACTGATGATCGAAACTTTGCAGAACTTTCCTTTGAAGTGCGCATGGGCCATATGGTCGTTTACTGTTTTTCACTCAATCAAAACAAAACAAAACGAACCGAGGTTTTTCAGATATGAGAACCACTACGCCATTTCGTTCTGAGTTATCCGAGGCTCTATAGTGATATAGCTACTATCTTTGCTCAGATTTAATAATTGCTCGAGGTCCGACGTGAGGAAGGACTTCTAATAAACAGGCCAAATCCACGCGATATTTAGAAAATATGTGGATGGATCACGCTTGCGACATCCATAAACGTTCTGATTTCCAAGCAGTTATGACCAATATCTCGCTAAACGCATAAAGTACCAAATCCACTCTCGTTTCTTTCGACAGATTTCGAGTAATTATTTTGGCTTGCGAGCTCATCCTTGAGATTTCTTAAGCCTTGAGATTTGCCTAGATTGTATTTATCGCTCGTACAACCGGACTGGAAGAATCATGTTGGATCGGAGGATGCGGACGCCGTATCAAACAAAGGTGAACCTTTCACCACAGAATCATTTAGGGATAGACTTACAGGTGGGTCAGCAGCCACTTGGATTCTTGATACCATGGCAAGTTTATTTCTCAATGACAAAAGAGATTAAAGTTTAGGGGAATATAAGAAAATAAAAGACTTCACAAGAAAAGAAAAAAATTCACCTAATATCGATTGATGTGAGCAAAGCATTTTTTCCGCACGATCGCTCACAGCCCAAATGTCGCTATTTAAATAATAATTAACATTCGCGAAAAAATAATTTAAGTCTACTAATATTCTACTATTGCTTTCCACTGTGATCTTCGAATTTTCTCTCAGAAATTTCGTTTTAGCCTCAGAAGCTGAGCAGAGCAGCGAGCTAATTGCTAACAGCCAAGAACCGTGCGATTCTTATAACGAATATCAACAATATCCACGTCCCTGTCCGCCGCCTAGGCCTTTATGTTATACGAACAAAAGTGGTATGCTATATATCCTTAGATTAAATGAAATATCACTTAGATTCTTCTTTGCATCGGATTATAATTAATCGTTTATAATTATAATTAATCGGATTATAATTCTATTATAATTTCTACTCATAAAAGTTCTCACACTTTTCATAGTTATCGAAAGACAGTGCATCCATAATTTTGAACATTCAGTTATGAGTTTTTTTCGTCCGAAACTTTAAAAAATAATTTTCCTTCGAAATATTTCAGAATTAAGATTTGTTTATGTACGATTAGATTGATATGATTGAGACAGCGATACTAATAAATGCATGAAATGAACATCTTTTTAAGGATTTATGTGTTGCAATAAGACATTAGAAGAAATGATGCACCAGTCATATCAAGAATTGAGAAACGAAAGAAACTGGCAGTCGAAATTATGCATATGTGATAGCCATAGGATAGCTACGCATTTGCAGGTTATTTGATCTGATTTTGACAATTCTTTACAGCCAAGTGTTGTAATGGCCGAGTCCATTCCAAAAGCACTTTATTACTGAAAATTCGAATAGGCCTAAGAATTCCTCAGATGATTCCATATCAATACAACTGCACAATACAGCTGCATTGATGAATTTAGTCAAACCGGAAATGCTCGATTATTTCAATCTTTCATTGATTATTTAATTTTTTTATAGTAATGCCTTAAACATTTATTTTGAATTTATGAATTTATAAATTTTTTCCTTAGTTGTGAAAATTTCGATATTTCAATTTTCTAATGGAATAATTTGCGATTCTTTGATAGGAAACATTGATTCCTGCTGATACATCATTTTGCAGAATTTTCAGAGACACGCAGAGAAATTTTTTAACCATTCATTCGAGACGGTTGTATCTGGCGGAGATTTCGCTGCGAAGGTGCACTATCATAGCAGTTTTTTGTGCAAAATTGAAATGCATGGAACGTAAGAAAGATTCTTTCACACATACTTCGAAAAATTTCACCAAAAAAAATTTCACCGATTAATTATCGAGATTTTCTCTCAGTTGCTGATGAGTGATTTATCATTTAATTTCTCTTTTCCTAAATTTCAATTTGAATATGCAATTCATTTTAAAAAAATTTTACAACAAATAGAAATAAATAGAACCAAAATCCAATGATATGAGGTTTCAGCTTTCTTCAAAACTTATTGAACTTCAGATATATGTTGGCATATGGCACTCCACTATGGATTTAGTCTCGTCACGAAATAATTTTTTGATTAAAAGTCGTTATCATTCATCAAACGACTGATCTATTTCAACAGACAAGATATTTTTATTTATTTCTTCAGATAAAATTTAATCATTTAATCAATTTATGCGAGAATTATAAATTTTTGCGTTTCTTTTATTATAAATTACACTTTTCCATGAAAAAAATGTAAGACTAATTATTCTTATTATAATTATAAATGAATTTTTTGCTTTTTTTTACAAATGGTGAAGAAAGAAGTTAGGCAACAACTAAAAATATGCTTACAAGAGTCAGTCAGCTACTTCCATATTAGGGTATACTAGTAGGAAGTGTGCTGAGTATCAGAAGCAACTGTCCAACTGTCTGAAAACACTGCCAAAGCCTGAATGCCAGGAGATCCTTACTATCGGATGTTTCGAATGATAGCAGCAAGGCGAAATAGAAACCGCTATTTGAGCGATATGGCCTTGACAATGAAGACGGCTGCTCGGTTGGGTGATGACAAGAAATTATTCCGCCTTCATAAAGTAACTATAGCTCTGAGAAATTAGTGAAATGGTAAGATAATGATCTGCAATGAAAAGACTATTAAGGATAAGAAAAGAAATTTTTTAGGCCAAATTTAACACTGGTGCCATCTGTTGTCTCGGATATAGCTGATTCGTTTGTTGAACCATGCGTTTGCAAATGCCAACTCTCAACAGAAGAGAAAATATCTGTCATCCATAATCTTAAGACCAATAAATCTCCTGGAAAAGGTGGTCTTCGGGCCGAATTCTTCAAATATTGCCAATTGTCCTTCAAAACATACCGTCAATAGCAGATGCGTCCTAATTAAGTTGGATACAGACCTGTACGCGGTTGTGCTGATCAGAAATTTACGCTGGAACATCGTTTTAAATACCAGCAACCCATTGTCATTATCCTTGCTTTATCGTTTTTACAGCTGCGTTCGATTCGATTAGTAGAGCAGAGCTCTGGAAAGTGATGGAATGTCAAGATGTCCTGGAGGAAATCACTTGACTCATAAAGGTATTTTATTAGCATACATTGGCAGAGATCTGTGTATTGGGAAACTGACAGAATCCTTTGAAATAAGAACCGGTGTTCGTCAAGGTTATATCTCTTTCCCTACAATATTCAATTATGCGATAGACTGGATAACCACATCACATGTTGGCACTCAAGAGATGTGCAAATCCAGAGTATCGCATCACAGACTTTAGATATACTAATGATGTGGTTATTTTTGTTCACAGTTACGACGGAATGCAAATAATGTTAAAGTGCGTCGACAACTGCAGAGAGAATCGGGCTCAGGGTCAATGTAAACAAGACGAAAGTATTTTTTTTTGCATACAAAGAGTTAATAAAATGCCTATTTTTATCAATTTATTGCCGGTTGAGGAAGTGCTCGACTTTAAATAACTTGGATCTACTGTAGTCAAAAATAATCAGGAAAAGGATGAAACTGTAACCCTGATAACGATAGCTAGAAATGCGTTTTACCGGTTGATGAGGTCTTTATGAAACTGTCGCGAAATCACCATAAAAACGAAAATCCTCTTCCATATAGCTGCAATTCGCTTGATCTCTTGCTAAACGACTGTGAAACAAATGAAAATGGGATATATTAAAAAGCCTACTCATGATATATCATGTGTTGTAGGTCTTTGTGAATCTGTCGAGCGGATAAAATCGCGCATGATTATATCCATACCACCTATATTCTCAAATTCAATCTTATTAATAATGCTATCACAAAGCTTCTCACATTCGCTGGTTAGGGCTTGTTCTTCGCAACCCAGCATAGAAGTTAACAGTTAACAGTCTTTTCATTACTTATTAAACCTTGTGGCGAATGGTGTCAAAAGCGAGGAGGGCCAATCAAAATCTGCACTAATAAAAAATTTTGAAAAATTCTGTGAAAAAATTTTCGAACGTATAAGAATAAAAATTAATAAAATAAAAAATTAAGAAATTAAGAACGTATATATAATCAGGAAAAATTTTGAATATAAGAGGATTAGCGATATATATCGACTTAGATGATGGAAAAAAAAATGGCTTCTATTACTGTCAATGATGGCGCTGGACAGAAGAGCTTGGAGGCACTTTTCTTTCGTAGCCGGCCTAACGGTGCTAGAAGAAGAGAATGTTAAAAGAATGTTAAAAAGAAGAAGGTTGTCGTGAAAAAATTTTGTTAAATTCAAAAAAAGAAAATTTTTGAAAGGAGTGATTTACGTACTAGTCGATGATTTCACAAAATGATAATGTTAGAATTTTGTTCAAAGTTTCATTATTCAAAGTTTTATTATCCAGATAGAAATATAGTAGAAATATAGAATATATAGTGGCGGCCGTCTTTTTTCTTTCTATATACATGTACATATATATATATATATATATTAACATAGCTAAAAAATAGAAAGGAAAAGGGCCACCACGATTCAAGCCAACGTTGAACATTGATATGACGAATGAAGCCAAAGATGAAAAATAACCCGACAAAAGAAAACGATGAAAACGTTTATAATTTTATGATAAAATTATTTCGGAATTTCCGACAAAGGTGACGACTTAAAGAAATTAATGGACCAGTTATGAAAAGTTATTGAAAATTCGCTGAATAAAATTCATGAAAAATTATTTATTTATTCTACAAAATATTCGTATATATTTATTTCAAATGCCAAAACTTTAGACAATTGGGTATCGACTCGCTCAGTGGGTTGTCGCCCTCATTTCGGAGCGCCTGTGCTGGAATTTTACTCCCAGCTCTAGTAAACCTTTCAAAAATCCCGATGATGCTGGTTAATCATTTATGCTTCCATCATCAAGTGACTCCATGGCAAAATTTTCCAAATAGACCAATGGAGTTGAGTCGAGCGAAATCAGAAATGGTTTGCTTTTAGAACAGATAGGAGAAATTATAAAATTTAATATAGAAAATAACAGAAATTTACCCCCGTTTAGACTGAAAGATATGGTAAATATCTATTACAGCCGTATATAAATTGTCGAAGAATATATAATCAACAAAATATGATCATCAAAATAAGGGCAATTAAAATAAACAATATTCATAGCCTAGCAGAAAATTTGGTGCTCACTGAAAACTTACTGATAATAAGTGAATAAATCGAAAAAGCTAGGAGAATGAAGAATGGAGTCATTGTTGAGTCTACTAACTTATCGAATGCTTTCTGATATTCTTAGACCTACTCTTAGGTTTTTCTTTTTGAAATTATCCAAAGAGATTAACAATGAAAAATTAATGGCCGAAAATGGTGTTAAGATGCTATGCTTCTGTCTTCGTGTGTCCATCGATTCATTCTAAAAAGTAATCTATTGCTGACAGAATTCGTTTTTAAACTTCGCTTGTCCTTTTCAATATTTTCGCTGTTATGGATGCAAATTCAATTCCTTAATTCTTGCACTATAGCAAATATTATCGAAATAGACAAATACTTTGTTCTTATAACTTATAACAAATGACATATTATTCGAAAATAATCCAGAATGAAAATGGTTGGCTGAACGGAGCAACGAAAGCAGTTTAATTTTCTGAATTTTGGATAAAATCATAATAATATTAAAAAGTGATAATGGATAAAATCTATCACAATTTCTTCAATGATTTGTAGTTTTCTTAATTAATGGCACACCTTATACAATTTTGGGTATCAAAACCATGAATGCACAAAATTGAACTTGAAGTTTATTAATTGTTTGAATTAAAATATCTTCCCCATTCGCGAATTCATTTATTTCCGAGTCCAAGAGCATTGAATATCTACATGGTTTCGACTGAACAACCTTTGCATTTTCGTTTAATTTAGAATTTCAGCAATAACAAAGTCTTGAATGCACCAATAATCAGATTATAGATTTGAAAGAAGTCGTAAGCAGTCGTAAGCAGTCCTTTACAAACTTTCACTCATGCGAAAATTACATTGGACAATGTATCCCATTTGATTTGATTTCAATTGTATTAAAACCGATAATAAAAGGATAAAGAACATATCATTCTCTCAGTATGTGTTTGTTGCTCAAGCAGTGCGAAGTCTAATAAAATAGATAAAATAGAATAAAATAGACGGAACTATTTTCACAACAAGCATTGAAGGAAATTAAATATAATTGCGGTGCTTACCTTCAAGTTCTAGTCGAATAACCATATCTTCCCGAATTACCGGCATAGGAATCAGTCGACGAGTGCTTTGAACCCTAACACATTGACATAGAGCTCGAAAATAATGAGAGTTTTTCTTGAAGAATGAGAACTTCTAAAAATTGTTCGTAAAATTTAAGGCTGTTCTACCAAGCTTCGGCCTATTTCGATTCGCATTTGCCTTTTCAATATGGAACCTATACTAGTTTTAAGGCTATCTTGATTGTTCTCGAAACGTTTTCATTTTCGGGTTTATGGGCTTCAATCTCCTCTCCAGAACCAGTCTCGATTCTTCATTGATATTCCCATTATCAGTGGTAGGGACTATATTCGTCAAATAGAAATAGAAATATTTAATTAAATCGTACTCACTGAGATTTTCGAATGCGAATTGCAATAATAAAATGGCAAAGATTTTTTTCGGAATAATATTCCAGTAACGAAGTAGATCTGTAATGCCATGCAATTACTTGGGTAGGTTGACCAAATGAAAATAAAAAATACATCAAAATAGCAATTGCAATTATTCCTGTCATCAAGGGCTTCAATAACACCAGATTTCTGTACAACGCCATCAATAGCATCTTTGGAGACTAATCTTGGACTTATCGGTAATCAATTCTTTGATTTGACAAGTTGTTCCGAATGAAATCATTCAAATCTTCGCATACTGGAGCTGGTTATCAAAATTTAACACTCCATTTCTGCCTCTTCTCCATGATGCTAACGTTCCTAACAAAAAAATTCATCATTGTTTCTTCCAGAAGCTCCAATGAATTTTAAACTAATCTAATTATTATTATGGATTTTGATTGCTAGAAGAATGTTATATTTCGAAAATTAATTCGTCCACATAGTCATAAGCCTATTTGCTTTTAGATGTAAAGCAATGGTAGATATAAAATATAACATGAATTAGCCCATCAAAATATTTAAATCAATATTATAATATTCTTTATGCATAATTTTATCAATTTCCTAAAATTGTCGCCAATCATTTAATCATTATTTAATCAGCTTTGGCTTTATACAACCAATGTTTTCGTTCAATATCTTCATGAATAGGTTATCTTTTTCATCTTCAATTTTTTGAATTTTTGTCGAAATTTTTTTTTAAAATCTATTTCTATTCTTTTTTTCAAATATCGTTAATTTTTTTGTTAATTTTTTTTGTTTCGAAGGCTAACTAATGCTGAAATGAATTATGAACATATGGATTATATGGAATAATTAACTGTTTTTTACAGCGAAAAATCCCAGAACATAGAAAATGGAGAAATATCCTGAGATTTACATATTAATGAAACATAGAAACGCGAAAATAATTTGGGGATTTTTCATGATTGGAACTATATTAATTTGCATTACTATTTTTTTGATGATTAATGCCAATAATCCAGCAGTTCCAGTGGTAAGATCGTTCTATGAAGACTTAAAAAACCATTTTCGAGCAATGAAATTCCTTTTTCAAAAGAAGATCCTATCATCTAAACCGAATCAAAATGAATAAAGCTTTAATTACAGCGCTGATAAATTCGAGCTTCGAGTAGGTTCGAGCAAACTACGATTTTTTTTCTTGAATTATGCTAATTGTGTTAATTGGTTGTACCACCTTCTTCTAATCATATTTTTTCGCCATGAATTGATTATTAATTTTATGTTCAAAAGTTAATTGAGCAAAATTTTTACAAAAGCAAATTTTCTGGCTCAAATTTTCCACATGCCATTTAATAGACATAGATATAAACAGTGCTTTTGATAAACGCCCATAGTATACATAGTAATATAAATTTTACTTCAATCTAAAAGCAAGTTCTGCAGTTTATATAAATGCTATTGAATAATTAAACATTTAAAATGATAAATTTTTAGAAAAGAGCAAATGAAATAGATATTTCACTGCGGAAGAAAAGCAATGGACTTGGAGGTAAGAATTTTTTTCTCGAAAATTTTTATTATTTATTTTTAATTATTATTAAAATTATTTTCTTTAAAATCAGACAATAATTTATATTTAAAGATAAAAAACAATGAACGAAGTGATCAGTATTATAATTAATATCAGTAATAAATTTTTTTTTAACTCATATCTTTTTTTTAACGTTGTAGAAAATAGAATTTTTATAGAATTTTTTAAATAGAATTTATAGAATCTTAATTATTTATAGGATTTTCATCACACATTTTAGAATAATAAAATAATATGAAATTTCTGGAAGTATTTTAATTTTCAATCTCAGTGGAATTAAACGTATTTCTAGATGCATTAAATGTAATATTAGATGTATTTCTGCCAGAAAATAAAAAGCAGAAATGCAATAGAGAGAATTTTGAAAAAATTTTGTCTTATATTAAAAAATTACGTCAAAATAAAATAAAAAACAAGTAGCTTCAACAAAGTTGTTGCGTAAAAAACCCAACAAATATGTTTCTTTCAAAACGAAAAAATTTGGACGTATATGGATCGAAGGAATTGTTGGCAGTGATGAAAACCTTCATAAACGTATGGGTTTCGATGGCAGTGCTAATGGTAAGCTTTTAACTTAATTTAACGAGATTTAAAAAAGAGCAAATTTCGAGAAGACACTCCTTTGAGAAGTATTCTATTATGCCAAAACAAGTTATGCGCTTTAATTTGGCTTTGCCATTCAGCAAATTTAATGAAAAAATAGTAAATAATAAAAATTAGCAACATTAAAATGTCATTTCTCGCTTACAAAATTCCAATGTATTTATTCAAGGGATTCAATTAACTTGAATAAATATCTATGATCAGTTAATTTAATTCTTATTAAGCCAGGTTTTGAAATGATCCTCTCTTTTTCTATTATAAAACTTTTTACATTCAGACTATCCGAAACGTATATATTCTGATACAAATAGAGTTAGTAATGCCCATCTTGCTGCATGCCCAAAATGGAATTGTATAGTCGAAAGTGGCAAAGCCTTACAGCATAAACTGCATGAATATGATGCAATTCTCATCAGTTTCCGTAATGATGGTTTTAATTATGAATATAAATCGCGGCCAAACCAGTACGTTGTTTTCTTTGATCATGTAAGATATTTATTTATTTATTTATTGATAACCAGCCAAGCAGGGCGACAACGCCATGTGCTTGTATTAATAATAATATAATAACAATTAAGATAACAGAAAAAGAAAACACAAAAAAAAGAAAAAAAAATATAACATAAACAAAATTAATTATAAAACAATATGACAAAAATTAACAATTTAAAGAGGAAATTACAGATTAATATAATATAGTACAATTCGAAGTAATATATATAACCTGAAATCGAGATTTCTCACTTCCTGCAGTTCTTGCCTGGTGTAAACTCTTCTCTTTTTTTTTGTTTTTAAATAATATCGTAAATGATATTATCTAGTCTTTTTTTAAAGACAGCTAAGGATGACGCACAAGCTACATCGTTCGGTAATTTGTTCCAGTAGTTAATAGTACGAATAAAGAAGTTATGAGTCCTAAATTTAGTTTTGCATATAGGTTTTTAGTTTTGCGTATAGATATAGGTTTAGTAATTTTAAGCCATTAGTTCTTGTTGGATTCAAATTTAATCTAAAGTTATAATATTTCGAGCAATCTAGTTTAACATAACCATACAGAATCTTATATGTGTAAATTAAATCTTGTTTAATTCTACGAACTGAGAGAGAATCCATGTTATGTTGTAGAAGTGTTCTTTTATAATTAAAATTAAATTTTTGTTAGGAGAGAGGCGTCGTAGAAAATATTTTCGGAGTCCTTCAATTATTTTACCTGTTTTGCGATGTCTAGGGGAGTACTGTAATCAAGAAGAGACCGAACGAATGTTTTGTATAATTTGATAAGAAAACTTTCAGTTTTGTTCTAAACGAACGAAAAATAAAATTTAGTATCCTTGAGGATTTCTTTACTATGGTTCTACAGATCTGAAGATCGAAATCGAGATTTTCATCCATGATTATTCCAAGATCGGAGATGTGTGAGACTCTATTGATTAAATTACCATTTATAAAAAGGTTAGGAAGATCGAATCCTTTAGAGTTGATGTGAAGAAGGCTACATTTTTGAAAAGAAAGGGTAATTTTCCT